TATTTATTAGTGTTATAATTTATCATAGATTTTAGCATGGATAATTTTAAAATTAGGTATACCTATATTTAGTCTTCAAAATATGCAACCTTACTATAATTAGTTCTTTAATTTTAAAATTTTAATTTTGAAAATAAAAATTGTTAATAATTTTTTTATTAAAATATGTTAAATTAAATAATAAAATAATTATTTATCACATTAAATAACACTTGAAAAAACACAAAATAATGTGATTTAAGATTTTTTAAAACTTTTATCTTGTTTGTTTTTTTTCATAGCATCTTCTCTAACCATTTTTTTGGCCTTCAAATACGGCAAACGACCTTGTTGTCGATGTCATTGTCATTTGGTCAAAATATCATGGCCTCTGTTCCTCCCTTATCTCCAAACTTTACACAGATGAGTCACTTTATCATTATTGACGATTTTTTAAATATTTTTACCTCTATTAACCACCCTTTTTTATAATCATTGTAATTTGATCAAAATATCTCTAACTTTCTTACTTATTTATCTCAAGTCATACACTATAAGTCACTTTAGATCTCACTATCATTTGGTATTCAATAATTTAGTTTTTAATGATATAAATAACAATTTTTCACTGTAAATTAATCTCTATTTAAATCAAATCATCATTCTTTCATGGATTTATTTTTATTTTTAGTCTTCTCTATACTTTTTTCTTATTTTTAAATTTTATTTTTTTTGGATTTAAATTTTAATATATTCAATCACATTGAATATTTTTTTTAAATAAATTAAAATTTAAAATTATTGCAATCTTAATAATCTTAATTTAAATTTAATTTTAAAATTTTATCATAGCATATCAATATAATTATGTATTGGAATTTTTATTAATTTTTTTTATTAACTCAGAATCTCTTACAGCATAAAAATATTTAAAAAGAAATTCAAAAACTATATTTGAAAAATTGAAAATTAGGAGAGTTTACAAATAAGTGAAACTAATAATTATAAATATTAATTTCCTTTATTGAAGATTATTATTAATAATAATAAATAAATAATACACATGTTTTCCTAATTTATAATAGTTAAGTATATGATACTTCTTTAAGAATCTTAAGAAGAAGAAGAATCATCTGATATTGTCCAGTTTCGCATATATTGATAGCTATCAATATGTCAAGCTTGCAATAATTTATATAGATACTTCTTGATAATCTTGTTAGAGATATGGTTTTTAAAAATTTCAAGTAATTGAATATATTTTTCACCTTGTCTACTATAAAGAGAATCACTAAGGTACAACTAATATTCTTTCTAATGCGATAGTAAATATTCTAACTAATGTTTCTAATCACATAGTTAATAATATGCTAATACAACCAATAAATCACCTATTTTATATCATGAAACACTAGATTGATAATAATAAGCAACGCAATTTGACTATCGCAATACTCTTTTTCAGATTGAGAAAGCTCTACACCGAGAGAAACTGCTTCCCAATGCTCTTTTTTTCGGTTGCTTCATGAATTGAGCCAAAACATGCACACATTAATTTGCAAAAAATCTGGTGACACAAAAATACACCATTAGAATTTTTTACCACCTCAATGCCCAAAACAGACTTCAACTTTTGCAAGTCGTATCAAAACATTGACAAAGACAATGCTTAAATTGTTGGATCTAATCGTGTCAATTCTGCAATAACTAAAGGTTAGGTTAAATCGCATCAAAACATTATATATATATATATAATTGCATTTCATTTAACATATTGATGTTTATTTGATGAGTTTATAGGCATTCTTCATAGAAAATAAAAATAAAAATAGGTCAGACCGTTCTATAAGTCTATGACTTAACTTTTTTAAAGTCTAGTTCGACTTAATTTATACTTTTTAAAAAATTTAATTAATTAAATAAGATAAACTTGAGTTTGAGAAAAAGTTTATTAAGCTTGTTAGAATGACCTATTTAAAATTTATAATAATATATTAAATATTTTTATATAAAAATTATAATATAATAATATATTATTAATATATAAAGATTTAATTGACTTCGTCACAAATATAATTTGACGAGAAAATTAAAGATAATAATTTTTATGTATTTTTAAAAAATATTTCTAATCACTATATTTAAAGTATTTTTATTTAATATTATTTTTTTTATTTTGAATATTGATGAATAACATGAAGAAATTTTCTTAAAAATCAGATGGCATATTTGTTGCTTTGTATTTATTATAAAAAAAATATTGTTATTTGTGTATTTTAGATTTTTGTTTGTTGCATTTACTAATTTTAAGTCTAAAATTTATTTAGTTATATTGTGTTTGTTAATTTAACGTGTAAGACTTTATGCTACTTTATTTGCTTAATAATTTATAAATTGATGTTCATTTTATTGTATTTTTTGTATGTGTAATAATTTACTTATTTAAATTAAATATATAGTTAGAAAGTAATAAATAAAAATATAATTTTATTATACATATTTAAGGTGATAAATTATTTTTTAATAGTTTATTTATATATAAATCTTATGAATTTTAAAAAAGTATACTTATTTAAAAAGACCAGACTTAATCAAGTCTATTTATACAAAACCAATTCTAACTTAGCCTTTTTCGACAATGAACACATTTCTAGAATTTTCTTACTTTCTCCATATATGATATTAAGGACAAAAAGGTTAGGTTAAATTGTATTGAATACCCATAACACTGTCACGAAATTCACAATCTACCAATCTTTTAGTTTATCAAAATCCTTCTCCACTGTCGTTCCATCAACAAAACCATATTTCTTCAAGCAAACCACCCCCATATTAATCCCTTAGATTATATGGATTAAGTAGTTTTAGTCCTTCAAATTTTAAAACTCCTTTGATGGACCATAAGAATCACCTTAATATGTAAATTTAGGCTTTTTAAGCATTTATTATGATTGAATAACGATAGAATGTAGAGTTATCACGTTAAGTGATATCTAGAATTGTCTACAAGCGTCGTTAAGTTTTAGGGATGGTTAATGTCCATAACCTCCTCCACCATACATCCTAAATCAAACTTAGTTTCATTCTAACTTTGTGTTTAAACCCCTCCACCATTATCGATATATTATTCTTCTCATCTTCAACTCAATCTTGATTATGGTTTTCTATGCCTCTTCATTTGGTGATTTCATGTTTGATCTTGATCCTAAACTCTTATCTTCAATTGTCATTAGAGTTCACTTTGGTCACAGAACGGACGTTTGCAAATCATTCTGATTTTTGTCGCAAAAAATGCTTTAGAGGATGAGATTTAGAAGCAATTCCATTTCCCTAAAGGTTGGTGATGGTGGTTAGGCATTGGAGGTGTTTATTTTACTTCTTGGAACAAATGTTGGTTGAGATTGGTTGGTTTAGTGAGAGAAGGGTAACTCTTCATTATTGGCACTAAGGTCTTCATTTTTCTTTTAACACTTTTATGACCAACTAATTAGAAAATACTAGTGCTTTGTTGAGCTGAAACAATTGCAAGACAAGAATATAATTTGCTTATACTATTCTTACTTAAATGCCATCAACAATGCACAAGAAGAACAACTGCAAAAGATTATAGAAGAACACAGGGAAAAACATAACCATTCATAAAGCTTAACAATGTTGTTTAAGCCATTTCGACAATCTTATGTATCCCTTAACGCGACAAGTTACCATTTGGTTTTCGACTCGATATAATCATTTAAGAATTTTTTTTCACCTTTTGCATTCAAGCATTTGCATGCTTGGTTCATCTCTCTTATTACCAAAAGAATGTTTCTTCATCTCTCGGATCGAGCAATGCTATGATTATTTACTATTAATAAGTTCGACTAATTATGACTAGCTTATATTGATTGCGAGATTATTTTATTCCTTTTAATTAAAAATTATTAAGGAATTAATAATTGCTTTAAGAAAAATTATAACCTAATTTATGAACAAAAATTTCTGGTACACACTACTATTAATTTTTCAATCATTTATTAATCAAATTAATAATTCATCGCGTGCTTGTTGGTTAACCTTTCAATTGCGGTAGCACACCCCAAAGATTTAATTTGTCCAAATTGTAGTGTCAATATAAATGCGTAATTCAAACTAATTCATCTGCAAGTAAAATTTGTTCTATTTTGAATTTCCGAAAAGAGTGGATAGTCCCCTGCATGGAAAAGGAGATATCATATCCTGTCCTGCAGGGTTACCATATACTTCTTTTACCTTACCTTGATCGTAACAAAATGGAAATTTGTATAAAACACAGCCCTCTCTTTCCAATGTCATCTTACAAACCAATTAGATGTAATGTTCTTGGACAAAACCATATATTTCTTGTCCAGTGCATTCGTTATTTGGAGACTATTCAATCTTTTACCCCAAAGAAAAAATGAAAAATCAAATAACCTATTAGTAACATTGCTAACTCTACAGGTGACAACAATATATGGAATATAGAGATGCTAACAACAAAGTCTCTAACACAATCTTTTAAACACTCATTATTATCAGTTAAACTTTATTGAAAATCACAAAAATTAAATGATTTTCAACTATATTATAATAATTTTTAATAAATTACAACCAATAACTAAAAATATGTTTAAAAGAGTGTGTAAGAGTGTATTTCTAGTACTCCTCTATGGAATATGGATTCAAGTGGAGGCTGAGACCTAGATGCTAAAACACATCAATCATACCCACGTTAAAATGATCCATATAGAAACTTCCACAAAATGAAACGAGGCTATCCATCTTTGTTATAAGTTCAAATATACCAAAATAATAAAGTCTGGAAGTTCCACAAAATGAAACAAGGCTACCCACCTTGCTTATAAGTTCAAACAAACCAAGATAAGGATGTCTCAAAGGAAGGTTACCACATTACTTGTAAGTCAGAAAGAAACCAAAAAGCAGCAGTACCAGTCCGGTAATTGATAGGCACAAATTCCCTTCTCATTCTGTTGTGCAACATGATATTGTAATCATGTAACTTAAAGTGACCAGTGAGAAAACTCATAGGCCCGGGACTCCCCTAGATCCATGTAATGCCTCCTGCCCTGCTGTGATAGATCAAGCTCATCATGAAGGTGGCTGTGAAGAGGCGGCAAAATATGACCCAGACCAAGATCAGGGACAACCTCGGGCGAACAAGTACCAGAATCAACTCCTTTTATGTACCATGACGTTGCATTTGGAAGTTGATGGATGGCTGCAACTTGAGGAGATGCTGCAACAAGTTGTGTCATGGGTGTCCCATTGAAATTCAACAAGTTGCTCAGCTCAACATTTGGTGGTGTGTTTCTAGAACCCCATGTTTGACTTGACAGAAGAGAGAGAGCACAGCCTGAGTCAGTGACCCTGGCATAATTTTCCACTGAAGGATGTCTAGGACCAAGGAAGCTAGTTCCACCACTCACTGAACCTTGCAGAAAAAATTCAGATTGTGTGTCTGAGTTGGCCTGCCAGCTAAGTGTTGCAGCTTGATTCCCAGGAATTAGTTCAGATGATCTTGGAGTTTGCAATGTATTTCTCAGCTTTGGGTATGAAGCAAATTCCATCAGAAAGCTACCACCTCTGCCATTGTCATCTGTTAAACACGAGTCAAACATTTGAATGTTTTATAAGGAAAGAATATCTCAAGATGAAAAGCATTGATCCTTCCTAAGGATAAATTAAGTAGAGAAGGGGGTTTGTAATTGAAGTTTTACAGATAATTTCTAACCAAAAATAGGCGAAGAAAGCCTGGCAAAGTGAGAGGTTAATAAGGAGCTGGGATGGGGCTTTCGGCGGCGTTCATTATGGCCAGCAAGTCGCCTACGGCAGCTTCTTTTTCCTTGATCAAATTCAGAAAGCAGATGAAATCTGGGCAAGGACTATCAAGGAGGATATTAGCTTTTCTTAAATAGAAGTGCTACAAAGTTCATGTATAAGCATGTTACAAAAGAGAACATGAGCAAACACAAGATTTGAGAATTTCTAAGAGGACAAATTGTTTCTTAGCAGTTAGCATAACATGCAATGTTGCTGTTACTAAAGAATTGGATGCATTTCAAGTAATCTCCTTTCTCATTAAACTTCAAGCAAATAAAGAATTTGTAAGTCCCTTTACATAGTCATCACTAAAATATTACAGAACAAAGCTACCAGAATAATCCCAAGAACTTGGGTATATTTCGATAAGATGTAATTCACACATAGTACGGTAATGCCAATGCATTGGATGAGTGAAGGATACTAATACAGTCTACACCTCAAATGTTATGAACTTAGGGTTGAGATAGCATCAGCAAAAAGTCCTCTTAAACATAGCATCAAGGAACATCTCATTGTTCCGTGATAACTTGAATTCAACAAATAAAATAAGGCTGAAACATGGATACCAGTAAGCTTTCCTTTGCTTGTCGCTAAGTGGGATTACATTGTATATACTTGATAGTACGAGATATACTATTATAGTTGAAAGGTCAAATCATTGAACTTGAGTATGGGGACACACCTTCAAATATATATTCACTTTGTTGTTACAAAAATAAAAATAGATGACCTATCATTCCCGCAATTACCATTTGCCCATCTGCAAATTTGAAGTTATCTGATTTCAAGAACTCATCAATAATATGTCTCCAGTATCATTAAGAATATACTGTCTTTGCAAATTCACAAGATCACTCTTAATTTGTTGGTCCCTCTTTCTGATTAATTCAATTATTGAAAATAACATGATCCTTAAAAAATGGTACGAACAAATGTGCAATAAAACCCTTTTCAACACTAGACTTGCCAAAAGCCCAGTAGAGACAAAAATTATACTTCATACAGCCATAAAAAATCTATCCTAGCTCCATAACAACACTGGATGCTTAAAACATTCATATACTTGTGCCGATAAACCCCAAAACAAATGAAATTCTTATTGTAAGTTTGTAACACAACAAATCATCATATCCTTAACTATCTTAGAATTGACAGTTGAAATAAAGAGTAATCAGAATGGGATTTGACATTTTGTTACACCATATGATAATACCATTCCTATTTAAGGTCACAACAACTACATAATAAAATGACCTCAGATTATAAGCCCAGATAAAGCTTAATTAGCAAGCTGCCTCAAGGCATGTTTAAATCCAATATACAGTAGTAAAAAATTTGAATTTGAATTAAGCACAGTATAAACACACAGAATATGTTCAAGGCAGATACTGATGTAGCTTCTACAAAAGGAATCCTGCATGTATAATAATTACGAATAATATTTACAAACCATCCTATCAACAATATCTTTAAACCTAGTTAAATAAACCTCAACTCAAATTTTGTTCAGTTACCAAGAAGCTACACATATCAGATAAACAAAAAATATATCCCAGCCATGCTATAAACCAAAAGAGCAACAATAACAATCAATCAAAGCCTTTTTCCCACTCACGGGGGTCAGCTACAAGGATATAAGTATGCCATAGTGCTCAATTTGTACTATATCCATAAACAAGGAGAGCATCCAGAAATTTCACCGCACTTTTTAGTTGCTACAAATCATCATTCAATATTCTTTTTTTATAACATAAGTGATAAGCATCTCATCATTATCATTCAATAAGACTTACCCTTCCCCAGAAAACATGATGCATCCAGCATGGCTTGAAGGTTACGTGAGTACACAAAACATAATGTAAGATTTTTGGTTATTTAGAAGAATTTTTATCCTAAAATGATCCTCCCTATGGATCCCACATTACACAAGACCAGTAGATTTAGACCAATGAGATTGATCATCAATAGGGAAACAATTATGATGTTATAAAACTTGGCTATTCCATCAAAGGATGCATCTTACTCTGAAAATTTTATTTCAGCTTGAAGGGAATCACTCATTCATTCCCTAAAATATCTCAAGCAAGGAAAGTATAATCCCTTTGCCAGTAAGGGATCAATGAGCAACATTTCATGCATTGCCCAACAGGTTATAGAGCCCTCAATTGGCTTTTTTATTTTATTTCATCTCATTTCTAATGTCAAAAAAATACTGGCAAACAAATAGACCCGTTTTCCAAATCTCAGTGAGAAATTATCCAATCATGATGACCATTCACCTCCAAAACTATAGACTTGTTAGTGATATTTTGTCATTGAACACATCCTTAAAGTGCCCACTAACATTTGCTAGCACCAATAAATCAAATTGAAGAGGAAAGTAATTTAAGATGTAATAAAGCTTGAACTATTAAACAGAAAAGGATAAACAGAATGTAAGATCTGGATCAGAATTTAGGAACAAGAATGATACAATCTTCATTGAAGAACGAAGACCACAGATCACTCTGCTCTCCATGCTGTGAAATTCAAGAGCCCAGTCCCTCCTCTGCTAACCATTAAACATTCAACAGATGTCCCTCTCTTCGTCTCTTTCCCTAGTTATACCTCCTTCCCCTTTCAGTTACATCTTTAACTCAAGATAATAGTCCAGTTGTCATAGTCATACTAACTAGAACTGTTTAATCATGACATTCATTAACTGTTATTTCTGGAACTAACTGCAACCCAATTGAAGTAAAAACAAGATGTTCTATTTAAAAATTAAATATAAAAGAGACAGCCAAAACCATATAAGAATTGAATGTAACTTAGAAAAGAGAATAAAGCCATTTACTTTAGTTTCTTTTTTTAAAGTACCTATAAAAGAAAAGAGATAACCTAAGGTGAGATAAAGTAAACCAAAGCAGAACATAAACATACCCAATATAGCAAAAACACTAAAAATAGCCAAAACTACACAACAACAAAAAAGAGATTTTTTTTTTTGTTTCAAAGTCATAAATAAAAGTAAATGAGGTCAAAGGCAAAGGAGTCAAGAACAAGTGACCTGCTACACTGTTGGCAAAACCTTTGTTCAAGACCGGCAACAATAACAGTAGGGGATTTAGAGTGCATGGCACAGACTTTATGCCTTGAATAGTAAGCCTTAGCACCACTCAGATCTACTTTACACCCCTCAACCTGACACCTAGGAGGCTGAGTGGCTTGTACTGAACCACCCCTTCCTTTCTTTGAAGAAGATGAAGATGACCCACCATTCGTTTTGGCTTGAGTTGCAACACTCGCATCCTCAAAGTAGATTTTTTTACCAAACTTCAAGCCATCTAGAGACTCTGAGGAGGAGTTGGGTGAGGAAGAGGAAGAGGATTGTGGTTTGGTGACCGTGCCTGAACTCATTGGTGCTACTCACTGATGAAATGATGCCTCTAGCTACTATCTGCTTAACTATACTACTATAATGTAGTCATCAATTCATTCATTGTCAATCTGTGATGCCTCTGGCTACCATCTAACTAGATATGTTCATTAATTCATTTCGTTGAAAGAAAATTTGAACTGCAACAAAATTTTATGTGCAACAAAGAGAGAGATAAAAGGAGAAAAGGTTCCATTAATTGTTTAAAAAAATTATTAATAATTTTTAGTTAAAAGTACTAATTATTTTTATTAAAGAAAATAACTAATGTTAGAGAGATACAGAACATTACAAGTGCACGAGAATAAATTTTGAAGGAATAGTTTTGTAATTTATAGTAATTTTATTTGACTCAAACTGAATTTAGTCCTATTCAGTCAAATAAGATCGATTCTAATAAAACATAATTATGATCCAAAAAACCACAAAACATTAGTATTATAAAATATATCATTTAAAAATATATATGTGAAAATTATGTTAACAATATATAAAAATTTGTATTGATTTTCTTAAGAAGATAAATAGGTAGTTAAAAGAAAGAGGGTGACATGGGCGATGATGTCACAAGGGTACACTTAGAAGTGAGTTGTGAGGGGGTTTGTCTGTCCGAAAATAAATAAGGTGATGCAGAGCGATAATGGAGTTCGTACTTTCTTTGCTTTTATTGGGACTCTTACTATGCTTCGTTGTCTCTTTACTGTTAGTGCCTTATACCACACTCATTAGAGCAACCGTCGCTTTATCAAACCTTTTCACTGTCCCTGTCATCATACATTAAACACCCATTTAGTAACAGTGTAGAGAAAATATTAGATTATAATTAGTGGAAGATAAATTCTTATCTGTACCTTAACACATCACCTCGAATAAATAGTATTATCTTATTATTTAAGATAAATAAAAAATAATAAAATAATAATTTTTATTTTTATTTAAAGTTTTACTTATCAATATATATATATATATATATATATATATATTTAAAAATATGTTTATATACATATAATATTAAAATTTTATATTAAATTACAATAGTTTTTTAACGATTAAAATTTATATTTAGGAAAAATTTATAATTTGAAAAAAAATTAAAATATATTTTATAAAATAGTTAAAATATTATTTACAAATAATTTTTTAAATATACTTTTCTTAAAATTATAAAATTATATTTTTTTTAAATATTTATTTTTTATAAATATTCAAAAATATAAAATATGAGTAACAATGTAACTTAAAAAATTATTCTATCTTAATAATTTCTACCCTAGTATCTCTATTAAATTAAAAATTTAAATTATAATAGTAAGATAGAATAACCTAGTAGAATAAAATTATTATAACTTTGATCAACAATAATAAAAAATAAGATATAATAAAAGTATTAATTTTGGAATAGAAAACTTAATTTGAGCATTAAAAAATAAACAGATTAAATATAAATAATTAAAATTAAGAAGAAAATTAGACATACATTAAAATATAAGGTTCAAAAGTACAATTAAAACTATTTTTTTATTAAAATTATTTTATTTAATAAATTTTATATTAAAAATAATATATAATAAAATACATTTATTAGTAAAATAAATATAAAAATAAGATATTATAAAAAATGTTATTTTGTTTTCCCATTTAGTCAATGAGCATTTTTTTTTCTTTTTACTCGTGTATTGTTTTCGTAAGAGGTAATTTTATTTATATAAAAATATTTAGAAATTAATGGATTGATTTTTTTAATGATAATTTTCTTATATATAAAAATTTCATTCTAACTTTTATATGTGAAAAATAAATATGTATTATTTAATTAACTATCTACTGATTTTCATATAAAAACTTGACTAATATTACTGAATATGTAAATTAATTAGCAGTAGTAGTTTCAATTTATATTGTGGTCTTTATTTTAAATTTTTGTGAATACAGTTATATTAAATGTTTAGAAATTATATAATTAAAACGTGATTATCTTTGGTGATTTAAATATTTTTATTTATTTTATATTTAAAATAAATAAATTTTCATTAAATATAACAATATATACATTTTTTTATATTTTTAAGAAATTATACAATATCATAATTTTTTATATTAATCACATCATTGAAAAAGTATATTAATTTTTAACTATTTCTCTCTTGAATTCAATTTAATTTTATGAGTTTGAAATAGTATGTCTATATATAACTTCAATTTGCATTATAAAAGATTTTTTATTTTTTTTCATTTCTAATTTGGGGACGACATGTTTGAGTCCGTACTATTGCGATTGGGGAAAAACAGGCTTTCGTGAACCTTTTACTTTGGGAAAGAACCTTTCGTTTCCCGTGGTTTCTGAGTTCTGACTTCTGCTCAATCATTCAAGTTTTATTTACAATGGGAAGATTTTTACGATATTTTTAAATTTTTTTTATAATTATACACAAATATCAATTTAAAATTACTGAGAGAACAGGTAAGAAGGTGTAGTGAGAGATCATTTTGCTGTCTATATAATTTTATTTAATTTGAATAAGTTTTTATTTTATTTTTTTATTTTGAACTGTTTTAACTTCTAAACACAAAAAATATTTTCTTTTTTTTACTTCTTAAATATTTATTTATTTACTTTTTAAATTTTCAAACAAAATCTAAATTTATATTTAGTTTAACGTATAGAAATTTTAATCTTAATGAAATTAGTTTTATATTATTGAATATATTTGAAATAGGTCCATAAAATTAATTAAAACCAATCGAGACATGCGCTTGTAAATTTTATTGTAAATTTTTTAAAATAAATTAAAATTTACTTATTTTAATTTATTATATTGATAAAATTATTGCAAAATGTTGAAAATTACTTATAAATTAACTACAAAATAGTTGCGTAAACTGTCCTAATTTCTCCCCCTTGCACTGGCATATATCAAACGTATAACATATGCAGATTTAAAGTAAAAATTAGTTTTTAAATTTCATTTTTAATATCTCAAAATATCACGACTTTTTATTTAAATTTTCAAATTTATTATTTAATTTTTAAATACTTTTTCCATTAAAAATACTTCAATTTGGTCATGGATAATTAAAATGGACAGTCAAAAATTATTTTATTTTATTTCAAACAATATTTTTGAGATACATGTCTATTAAAAATGAAAGAAAGAAAAAGAGAGACATAAATAAGTACGTATTCTAGTTATAATGTATTTTCAATTTCGACTAGAGATTCACATTGTTATATAGCATAGATGAGAATGTTTATATTAATTTCTAATAGATAGTTGAAGAAGATATGCACCAAACCATGTACGTATACTTACTCCTAGAATTTCTAATAGCCTAGAGTTGAATTGGTAGACCTCAAATCTTTTAAAACTTCAGTAGGTTACCTATCCCATTAGTTGTATCAAGAAAAATTATAAAGACTTCTTATTGGCACATATTTAACCATGGACAAATTTTTAATCACTTAATTAAAATTATCACTTAATCAGTTGTAATTGATTACTTTTTATGACTCTATGATTCAACTAAAAAATTTATTAAAAAAATATTTTTGAAGTTGAAAATGAAGAGAAAGATAGGATAAGGAGGAGTAGATGAGAAATAAGAAAAAATAATAATTATAACATTTTAAAGATAGGTTGAGTCTTTATTGGAGTTCATTAGGAGAAAATAATAATAATAACATTTTAATGCAGTTAATTTTTTGTAGATAAAAAATTTATTTAAAATATTTTTGTAAGTTAATAAATAAAAATAAAAATATTAGTAGACCAAACTAAAATACTTAAGACACATATATTCACTTCATCATACAATCATACTTTTTAATCTTTTAAAATTAGTTTAAATAAATATTCATTAAAGCGTTTAGCTCAAACAAGTTTCACAATTACAGGTCCGTTCCTAATTATTTTCTAGAAATATTTTGCCGTCACTCACATTCTGAATGATCAAACATTCTGGAGCTGTTTCTTTTGTTGTTCAACTTGCATCAGCAAATTTCGTTGAATCTGAACATCAGAAGAGTAAAATTACAGTTACAAACACATATATTTAAAGCCATTTAGTATAAAACTTTCAATAACTATTTATAAAATATATAAACAAATAAATCGATCAATAAATAAAATTTAAAATAATTAATTTGCTATATTTAAAAACTCTTCTCTGTATAAACTTATCATTAAAGACTTTTTTTTTTTTTTTATCAAATTACATAAATCAAAGAGGCTGAATCCAAAGAAAATGAAAATTTCCACCAAACACTCTATAGTTTTCCTTTCAATTTTTTTATAAAAAATAAATAAATAATTTATTAAAACTAATAAAAAATAATATATATCATAAATTTATAATATATTCTAAAAATACTCATAATTATAAATTATTACTTGGTTACTTATACAATAAATGAATAAAAATATACACATGTATAAAAGTAGTAGGTGAATATTTTATTAACATAAATCTTATAATAAATTAGGGTATAAAAATTAATGTATCTTAATAAATAATTTTTTATAATTAAAAAATAGTACTAATTATTCCTTATTAAAAAAAACAAAACAAAACTGAAAGGAATACTTACTTCTAATTGTTCTTCAATACTCCTCCGAACCTCAAGTTGCAGTTGCCTTGATTCATCAATTTGCTTATAGCTGCAAAGGAAGCGTTATTAAGTGACACTATTTTGTGACAAAATAACTTAATAATAGGTAATATATACTTAGACACAAACGATACAATTGTGGCAATACTATGTTACATTTTCTGTTGAAGTTCACTGATCGTGTCTCTGCCTTGTTTGTGTTCACATCCCTCTGCAACGGAAATTAACTCATTTTTTTTGTAATTTATCCATAGAATTAGATAAGTAATTCATACTTAAGAATAATATAGACTAAAAAATATATTCTTTTTAGCCCTTTTTATAAGCATTTTTTAAATTTTTTTTATTTTTGTGTAAGGTATTTTATTGATTTTATAAAGTATTTATTATATATTTCTAATTTGTCTATTATATAAACGGAGTCAATGAAAATTTAAATTAAAACTATAAATAAAAGTTGAGAGTAAATTTATTATATTATAATAAAAATTAAGATTTTGTTAACTTCAACCTTTAAGTATTTATAAATAAAAAAAATTTATAAAAAAATATATATAATTATTGTATTAAAGTATAAAAATATAATAAATATTTTTTTAATAAAATTTTACTAGATTACTTATTCGTCTAACAAAACTTTAAAAATTAACCAAACAAAAAGGCATTTAAGCGCATTGAACAGGAATTTACCCGTGAAAGTGTTATGCACGTACATTGTTGTCCGGTATTTCTGCACTCAAATGGTGTCAATTAAAAATACAATACAATATTTTCCTATAACATTTTCTTACTAATCCTCTTAATATTTTATAAAGGACATTTAAATGAAAAAATAACTATATTTAATATCTTGAAAGTTTAAAATATATTAAAATTTTTCTTCATTTAATAAATAAAAGAGTTTTTATTGGAAGAGAATTTAAAGTTATTCTTAAAAATAATAGGGACACAATGATATTTAAGAACAACCTTGTGATTATGTTAAAGAGTGTAACCTGCAAGTGACTCTTAACATGAAAAATGGTCAGTGACGTTGAATTCATCAGCTGTAGCACTGCCTTAGGCTTTGCTTCTACAAATAATGAAAAAAATGAAGCTATGAATAGTTCATTGACAAGTAGATTGTTCAAAGCTTTTAACTTGAACTTACCTTGAGGACCACCAAGGATATTGACAGCTGCAACAAATTGCTCATGCAAATCTTTGGTCCATTTTATTCTTTTTTGTCGTGTTGGAACTTTGCCAGAAGTACAGTTTCCACGCTGAGAACAGAAGGCCAATAGATAATACCTGATATCAATCTTAATTATAACACAACAAGAACATAAAATCAAAACAAAATTGTTTTTGACAACTTTTGAGCGCTAATTTTGTTTTTATTTATCTTTTTGAGAAAAAAATTATATACATCAAGAAATTTAATTTAATCATTTTATTAAAATTAATTGTTAAACTTATTAATTTCTCTTTTATTCATAAGCCTCTCTATTTTAATCTACTCAAATAGTATCAATATCTTAACAAATGTTTAATGATATATATTAAAAAATATTAACTACACTTTATTAAATATTTTAAATCACATAAAAGTACTTTTCTGTCTTATTTCAAAGCTATTTGAGACTGTAGAATATTAAAAAAAATATATTAATTTTTCAATAATATATTTATTTATTAAAGATAATTTTTGCCAACTAACGAGTAAAATAATTTTAAGATGAATGTGTTAATATTAAGTGATATCTAATGTGAGACGGAAGGGGTATATAATAAATATTTTGAATAATTTTGTAATAATAAATATTATTTTCAATAATTTTTTAATTTTAAACTTATAAACATGCACTTCAAATATACACTGAAAAATATTAATATTGTAAATAAATAAAAATATTATTGAAAATTGTAAAATTTGACAGGTAAATAAAAACAAAATTAATTTTCACAAGTTGGAGATATAAATAAAAACAGAAATAATATGAACTTTAATTCTTGAAATATCGTAATTGAACATGATTACACCAACCTGAGTAACAGGGGCAGAATCATCACCCATGAGCCTGTTATGAACATGTCCCAAATTCTCATAAAGTGACAGGTCAAGGGAAGTATGTTCACTATATGTTTGACAAAAGGTGTCTTCGTGGCTGGACAAGAGAGAATCAACAAAGCTTCTGAATAGCGGGGTTGAAGAGTTGTCTCCAGAACACTGACACTGCAGATTTTGCGAAGCAGAAGCTTCTGGAAAATTGAAACACAAAAAGGAATCATCAACTACGTGCTGCTCATGTTGTTGGAAGTTGAAGTCGTCATTTTCTGAGCCTCCACCCTTGGCTAGACTGCTACATGCACCGTTCGACACCTGCGAAGAAAGATACATTTTGCAATTTTCTGGAGACAGATACAACGCAAGTGCAAGGATTCTGATATTCTATTATCTATTTTAACTTGGCATTGCCTAGAAAGTGCTCATCAAAAGAGGGAAAGACAAAAGCTATAACACAGCGTTTGTACTATCACAGTTTCTTTGAGGAATTTGTTCTTGCAGTACAGATCCTGTTTTTGGGAGTACAACCCACAGGGAAACAAAAGTAGCTCCGTATTATATTCAACAATTGACTTTTGTTAATTTCATTCTTTAAACTTGAATTGAATTTAAGTAATTAACTATAATAAAAATATTTAAACATATTTTTAGTCCTTCTATCATTAGAGATATTTTAATTTTAAATTTTTAATATTTATTTTTTAAATTTAGTATTTTTTATTATTAAATACTGTTAATCATAAGTGATTAGCTAAAGGATTTAGTATTTTCACCTTAACCTATTTTTTTTCTCTTTTCACACTTCATTAAAAATATTTATAACTTTTTATTTCTAAAATATTCTTTACATTAAATAAAAATTCTTTCACCCATCAACATGGTCACTTTCCTACATGAAGAGTAACAATCCCTTTACTCACCAATGCAATTACTGATCTTGATCTAGTGATCATCAAGGCAAATATTGTGGGGGGAACCAATTGTCTGGCATTGGGCTATATATGAAGGCTTTGTTTATTTTTTGCAGTGGGACTTTCATTAGTCAAATTAAAAAATGTTTTAAAATCATTGTCATTTTATCTCCTAAAAGTGTTTGATATCCGTTTTGAGGTTCACGCACTGGCAATTTACACAAGATTGAAACATCAACTTCTTATAACTTAGTAAAAGAATATAGAGCAAAGAAGTAGAGAAATAAAATATAGAATTTTATTTTATAGAATGTCTTTCTAATGCTTCTTGATTTAAATTTTATTACTTTTGAAGAAAGAGGAGAAGCTGTAGAAGAAGATGATTTGAAGAAACAAACAAATCTCTTAGTTTTGGAGGATGTGATTTTTTTGGAGAAAAAGAAAGATAATTCCAGAGAAAAAGTTAAAAGATAAATTAAAGAAATATGTAATTAGTAAAAAAATCAGGTGCAAAAATTACAAAAACATTGGTCAACTAACAAGAGATTAACCTCTAGTTCAAATTTCAGTGAATGCTCAATAAAAAATATACTTGTGGTCCAGACAAAGTAAAATCAGATGAGGTGTAAAAATTAATCTCTCTAATTAAGAGATTGTCACATTAATATTTTTTACATTAAAACCATGTTAGAGAGAGAAGAAGAAAAAATTAAAAATCAAACTAAAATTTAAAGAAACTAAATTATTGGGAAAATATAAAAGTTATAAACATGATTAAAAGTAATAAAAATATGTAATTTTTTTAATATGATTTAAATGAAGTTTGGTACCAGGAAATTTCACAATTATTTTATTTTATTTTTTTACAAATTTTTTACAAAAAAATATTTCATTTTTTAATACGATACTTGTGTCAGTAATTTATTATTTTTCTTTATTCATATAACATCTAACTTGACTTATATAATATACATTGAATTAATGAAAATAATGATATGACATCTATATTTTATTTCCTTCATATTTAATTTCAAAATTTTTAACTTTATAACCTAGAATTTCATTAAAAAAATATGAAAATTTAATTTTATAAATTTTAATGTTGTGTCTTAGTCAAATTATATAATTCAAATTAGATGTTATACAAATAAATAATGAAACAGGTTGATGAATTACTAATACAAGAACTAAAAAGGAATAAAAATATTTTTTTATGAATTAGATTAAATTTTTTTTAAAAAGACCAAATAATTTTTTTTTTAAAAATCAAAAGCTCATTTATACATTTGGTCAAAATCATAAAGATACAAGTTGGACTTGTAATACATGAAGAGAACAATAACAATAAACACAGAGTATGTTTACGGATATAAATTAATTAAATATCTATTTAATAAATTTTAATTATATGAAGATTTATATTATATATTTTATTATAATTTTGGAAAATCAGTTTTAAATTTTTTATAAACTCTTTGAAACTTTAGTATGTTTATATGTATATATATGTATGTATAAATTAAAAATTAATAATATATTTCTAAAATAATACTATAAAAATTAACAAATATGAATAAAATAGTATTATATAAATTGAAGTAAATTGAATAAATTTTATATCTAAAATATACTATACATTTAAATATAAATATGTAAACAATACATTTTACGTTATGAAAATATAAAATGCTATCATTTAATATCACTAATATTTTTTTTATAAAAATAAAATGATATTTTTAAAATAATATAAGAATTATAAATCAGGAATGATAATATAATTAAATTTAAAATATATATAAAGTTTAGAAAATATAATATAATAAAAAAATAGTATTGAAAAATTTAAGCAATAGTTGTAAATGTTAGTATTATAGATAATATTAAATAATATTAATGAAAATAAATATGAACAAATTTATATATAATATACTGTATATTTAAATATGAATGATTAAAATGTGAATAGTACATTTTCAAATAATATTATAAAAACTAAACGATAAAATTCTATATCATTAATATTTTACTATAAATATTCTTTATTTAAATGAAAATGTTAGTATTGTAAAAGGTCATGAATAATGGTAGTTTTATATAGTAAAATTTTTTAATAGTTACCAAACATTGGAACAATGAGTATTGTTTTAGTTTTACTACTGAATTTATTTTATTTTACTACTATTTTTTAAAATTTTTATTAAACCAATGTTTTGCTAAAGTGTTGTTTCAAATAATAATAATAATAATAATAATAATATCAAGATATAATTTTTTAAACTGATATTTTATTATAAAACAAATACTACTTTTATAATAACATAATAATGAGAAAAAAGAATATAATATTTCTTTTTTCAATAACAAGATAGATTAATTTAAGAAAAAATAATTGGTAAAATAAATTGTATCAATAATCACTTTAATAAATATGAAAAGTTTTGTAGGATTAAGATTAAGACTTCATATTTTTTTTGGTAGTGATTAAGAATTTATATTTAAAAGTTATTACTAAATATAAAATTCAGAAAAATAAATATTATAACCTTACAGATGATGCATTATTGTAATTTTTTTGAAATAGCAACATTTTAATAACTTTCAAATCAGAAATAATTATAAAATAAGCAAGTAAAAAATTCTAATAAAATTATATTTGAAAATAAGAAATTTTTTTATTTTTAAGTGGTTCAATTAAATTTTAATTTTATAATTTAAAATTAATATATTTATTTAATATATATTTATCATTACACATAAAAAATAATTCAAAAGCAAGTAAAACCATTTTCTACTATCTCTGTAACTTGTAGAATCAAAATCAAAATATTCTAAAATGATAGTATCATAAAATAATAAGAATATAAAAGGTATTTCAATGAGGTACATTTTTTTTTTTTTTACTTAAGGAACTTAAATTTTATATATCTACATTCGTCTAAATATATATTTAAAAGCTGAATAAATAGACATTTTATTAAACAATAACCAAGACATTTATTAAGCTGAATAATCATGTTTTATATTTATTTTTACCTTTTGTGCGAATATTTGTAGTTAGGAATATTTGTTTAAAAGTATATATTTTTCCTTTTTGTGCGAATATTTGTATTTAATCATATTTTCATAACTGCAAATACTCCATATTCTCAGGAGGTAAAAATATTTTAGTAAGCAAGATTTTGTCACCTCCAATTGTTAAGAAGTTCATGTTTGGTATTGCTGAAATAACTGCATGTTTGGTCTAATTCTAGGAAAGTAATCACTTATTTTTTCGAAAACTCTTTAAGAAACTGAAAGGAAAAATTCTTTAACATAAATTGAACTAAATTTGCACCAAGTAGGTGAATGAGATCGGATGAATAAAAATTTGAGATACACATTGTTTTTGTCATTTATGGGGGTCTTTGTCACATACATTTCAGAAACTAGATATAGATACAGTGATGTTAATTTTTGTGCTGTGTTTGCTTTTTCTCTGTTTTCACATTTTTCTACCAGCAAAGTGAAGGTTTTGTTAACTGCATGTCCTGAAGATGAAGGAAATGCAAAGGGAGCAAGACTACAAGACTCTGCTGAACTGATACAAAAACTCTATATGAAAATTACAATTAACCAATTATGATGTGTTCCGTGCAGAACTAATACAAAACTCTAAATGAAAATTACAAATTACAATTAACAAATTATGATGTGTTTTTCAAGTATTGCAAAAGTAGAGCACTCATAATTTATTGAGTTTGCACTTGCACGACAACAAGAGTGTTTTTTTCTTCCCAAAATGAAATTTTATGGTGTGGTTTGACTCCCTTACAAGTAGTAAGATTTGTTGGCACACTGTCACTGCAATTAATTGCCTATGCATAGAGCAATAAAATTATGAGATTGAAGAGCTAACTTATCTTGGAAGTGAATAAGGAGTTTCAGACCCTTCAGAAATGGAAACCTGAACATCTTTAGGTCTCATTGGTATATCAATATTAGTTGTAGTGCCCAAATTCTGAGTATTCAAGGGACTATTACTTGTCTTCTGCTGTTGGTCAAACATCATCTTCAACTGCTTACCTTGTTCCTCAATCCGTAACTGTAATTTTCTCTGAATCTAGAACCAGAAAGTAATTTAAAAAAAAAAAATTAAAGTCAGAACATTGTGTAGAGATTATTACTATGAAGTACCAAATATGAACATACAAGTTTTGCAGAACAGGAACATATAGTAGCCAAAAAGTAATATGCTACAGTGCACAAGTACAGGTACCAGTATCAAGGTATGACACGATACATAAATATGATAATCTTTTAAAAGATTAAGATACAGTCTACTATATCAAGTGAAGCATAATTCTTTTTATAATTTACGTATATTTTATTAATTTATTTTTCTCAACTTCTTTATTTTTTGAATATAGCTAATCTGTCTAACATTGTACAGATAAAAAGATATATATTATAAATTTTTATTATAATTATAAAATTTAATAGTATCAATGCAATTAATTACATTGAATTATGTAATTCTTAATAAAATTTTACTATATATTTACTTCTCATTGTGTGCCATCATTATTGTATTACTACTGCTTTTTAAACTCTTGAAAATTTTATTAAAAAAGTATAATCATAATGAAATTTAAATAAAAATATTATACACAGTTAAGGATAATAATTCCAAAGAAAAAAAATTATATTAAGAGATTAGAAGATAACACAATCAAGATTTAATGTTGAGACAATCATATAAAAATATTCAGTATCCGGTACAAGAACCATACAAATATACATTGTTAATTTTGAAGGATCAGTGGATCATAACATATAAGAACATCAAGGATATACCTCTAGCTGTTCATGAAGACGCCTCTGAACATCTAGCTGCAGCTGAAGTGCCTCTCTAATTTGCAAGCCGCTGCAAATTAAGAACAAGAAATTCATTTGATTAGAGTAATAGCATCCGATGCCAATATGAAATTAACCAGGAAAGGAGTACTGGGATAGTGGAATGATAAAAGTGGCTTTGGTAAAAGTAGTGTTACGTTTTGGCATCAAGATGCACATTCTCTACATGGGTTCTTTTCTCAGATTTCCCTGAAACATGAAAACAGTTTGTTTAGATCTAGTATGGGAAGTGGACCTGCTAATTTGAGAGTGAATAATAACAATAAGGGCATTGAAGATCATGAATAAAGGAAGAATAATAATAAAGCATTAGAGGTAATTTTCACAACATCTTTTTAGTTTTTATAGCCTTGGGAACTTCATGTGTCTTTATGATGTAGCAGAGAAAGTAGACTGTATTTGTCATTTAGTAATAAAGTTTTCTACCATATGAAAGAATATTAGTGTAATTTTTCTCAATTGCAACTGCTTATACCTGGAAGTGAATTCAAGCCTATTTTACCCTCTCAGATATATCTGTATAAATAAGAAGACACTAATACTTGAACAATTTACATTAGTTTATAAGCTGATCCTCTGTATTGCCAAGCTCTATATCATACACATTTGCTCACCTTTTATAATGTGAATGCTATAAATATCAAGTACAAATAAATGTACTTGGCATCATATAAAAACTAACTACAATACAACTGCAAAGAAATTACCATGAGTTGACTCAGGCATATATTTGGCAATTCTATATTTCTGCAAATGGCTTTTAACATGGAATATGGTCACTCCATCTGATTCCATCAGCCTCAATATAGCTTTTGGTGTTGCCTCTGCAATCAAGATACCAAGAAGACAATTATTTGGTGTTGCAAATTTAGTTAATGAAATGGAAAAAAATAGCAAGATACTTACTCTCAGCACCTCCTAGGCGATTCACACACTCTACAAACTTTTCATGAAGATCCTGAGTCCATCTTATTCGCGTTTTGCTCGAGACTACAGGTCCATTGGAAACAGGGTTCCCACAAGCAACAGAAGCACTACCTGCTGAGAGTGTTGGAGACAGCTTCTCCTGCTGAGAAGAAAAGCTAAGCTGTGTAACTGGTAAATTATATGAGCCACATGAAACCTGTAGCATAGAAAAGATGCAATAAAAATATAGGCCGATAAGGAATAGTAGACGACAACAACCAAGTCTTGTCCTATTAGGTGACGTCGAGTAATCAGTGAATAGACAATGAACAAAAATAAATAGGGGGTATGCAAAAGTACTTACTGTTTGATCCTGATTTCCTTTAGAAGGAGTTGATGGGCTCCTACTAACTGAGGCAGCATCATCAATGAACAACTTTGGCTGTTCTATTGGAAGAAAACTTCTGCCAGAAAAATTCCCACATGGGATTTTATTAGATTTCTCTGTAGATATACAACATTGATCACTGTTCAATTGAGATTTCAGCATTGTTTGCGAGGGATTTGACCACTCAAAGTTGTGGCCAGGTTGGTTTGCTGGCGAATCCAAGAAAAGGCTTTCCCTAGGAGATTGATACAAAGGGAACTCCATATCATTAACCTTAGAGAACTGAGATATCAAAGAGGGATTACCAACTTGGCTATCATATTGTGGGAAGCCCATGAAGAATTCTGTAGCATAGAAGGCTGAAGCTGGTGACTCAAAACGGCTAATGATGCTGCTAGATGATTTGGCTTGGCCTAAATATGGTTGCTGTTCCATTCCTCCACCACATGCCATGGCAAGTGGCTGATTGCAAGTACCAATATTTGAAGCCTGTCTCATATCAAAATAATTGAAATCACTATTTAGACCATAGCTTTGTTGAATCCCTTCTAGACAATCAACTTTCTTCTTGCTCATTTATTAGCACCCGAAAAATGCCCATTTAAAATATAAACCGTGCTGGCAGCAAAGTTGCAAGATAACTGTTCAAATTTCTCTGGCAGCATACATAAGGTTCATCCTTGTTAAGGGGCACCAAATTAATGTAAAGGGTGAAAGGGAAGAAGGAAACAAGAACCAAACGAGATCACAAGAAGATTGGAAAGGTAGGAATGGTAGTGCTAAATTCTAGCCTTATGGTATAAAGTTCGGTCCTATATTCCTCAAGGCTTCAGGAATAAGATTTGAATCTAATTTGTCTAAATGCTACCATGCAAGGTCATTAGTTATTATTCTTGAAATAGGATAGGAATGAAACAGTTACCTATTGACACAACCAAAGTACAGAACACTGAAAAGAACAAAGCTTTATAAACAAACAATTACTTTTGTCTAAAGTTGTCATCATGTGAATATAAACGAAATGCAAAAGGAATCAGAGAAAATATGAAAGGTAAAAACAACCTAGCTAGGATGAGTCACAAGTAGAGGTTTAAAATTAAAAGTGCCCCTAAACTAATACTAAATACTAATTCATCATCTTAAAATTGTAGAATATTGATATTGGCATCAATAGTGAAATAATTAAATGTTAGATAAAGATACCGGCATAAATTCTCATACAATAGATCTGCAATTATTCTTATAATGGATTCCGAAGAAATAACTTTAGCCACCCACAGGGGGGATAAATATATATACAGATGGCCAAATCTTCCTTTCCCTAAAAAGAAAATGTATATTAGACTTAAAAATATGTTCCCATTGCATGACACTGCATCTTGCAAAGTGGGGTATCAGAAATTACAACTAACTTTATATTCATCTAGAAAGCATAACAGAATTTCAACTAGAGTTTCTCGGTAACCTTAGTTGGATTTGCATTACCAAAAGGTAAAAAGATATACACATTCAGCGCATTCATCTGCTAATTTTTGATCCATTGGTCCAAATGCAAGAAATATCTTTTAACTGTAGGACAATTTCGAGATGCAACTGATCATTCATCCATATGATAAGTTATTAATTTTCTCTTTCTCAAATTTGATAACATATAGTAGATTTATATTGACTTTACCGTTCATAAGGAATATATATGCTTAAAGAATGCATTTTATCAACTTCATTATTGACGGAACTAGTTTTGTTGGGAGTATCCAATCTATGTAAATGGCTGTTTCATGGTCACCACCCTCTATTATCGCACATCATTATATAGACAAAATTAAATGGAAACACCCAAGCTAGTATCTGTCTTTTGATATTATATTGTAATCAAATTGTTTAGCAAGGGTCTATCATGTTGTGCCAACAACTTTAGCGGAAAAAACAAGTTAAAGAAAACAAAACAAGTTGTATAAAATCATCAGCACTATTTTCATTGGGGTCAATTTCTATACTACAGAACATTAGAAACTAATAAGGAGTCATTGCTTCTGCTTTGGCTAATCCGGAATGAATTAGTCACCATAGTGGATAAGGATTATAAAAAACATTAAATATAAAAACAATCATAATTAATCAAAACTTATTAAAAATCATAAAAAATATAAGTGCCACTCTTAATTTAATTTTTTTCCACACCTAATTTAATGATTCTCACTTATACTTTTATAGTTTTTAATGTAAATTTATAAGAATATGTTAAAAAGAATATATTACCAATACTCTTCACATTAGTTAATAAGTACTGCATGTGTGATTCTACTTAAAAAGTCTCAAATTCAAGTTTATATATCTTTTGTTAGTAAAGCTAACCACGTTATATTATATATATTCTCAACTAAAAAGATGATCTTTTATACAAGATTCTCGTTATCTTAGAATAAAATCAAATGTGGTGATATGTAGTTATAGAGATGTAAATGATTATTTTTTTTTCTATCATACAACAGTGTGAATGTCACTGTCAGAAGTGGAGAATCAAATTAATGGGTTTAGCAATGCAAAAAAAGAGTGTGGAAAGCAAGATTCAGTTCATCCTCTTCAACTTCAAAGGAATATCTACGTGGATTTGGGACCCTAAATTCAGTCAAAAAAGTGCACAAACTTTGTCTTCACCATTGAAACCTTTAGCTAATACATTCATGCGCACAAATCTGAACTGAAGAAGAAATTGCCGCCCAAAAGGGCCCAAGAATAAAATGGAAAAATAATTTGTTCATTAATAATCACAAGTTACCAGGTTCATCAAGGCCCCAACCTCTAATTGATAGTTTACTTAATTTCCTGCTCTCCTTTCTTCTTCTTTTTTTGGTGGAACTTAAGAACCCTGTTCCATGTCTTAATCACATCCACATATGAAACATTAGAAAGCTGAAACGATAACACTTTCACTCATAGGAGTATATGCCACAAATTCAACATCAAACTAGCACGTACATGTAAAAATTTTGAAGAGCAATATCAAAATATACTCTTTTTATTATAAAAATATTTCTTGTCTATAATTACTACTAATTTAAAAGGTTTTGAGAGAAAAAACCATGTTTTTTATCATCTTACTTCTACGTTGTTTTCACTTTGATCCCTTAATTTTAAGAACTTTTAATTTGATTCTCTAATTTTTAAATACATTCTAAATAAATTATTTTTCATTAAAAATGTTGATTTCATTAATTTTTTTTCTCTTTTTCTATCACCACATTTATATTTTATCTTCTTTCTTAGATTTACGACTTCTTTTTTTTCTTCACTTTTTTGTCTTCTTCTTTGTTCCTCTAATGGTAGTTTTTTTTTTTTTAAATAAAAAGAAGTACACAGTATGTTAGGAAAAATGATCATGGTAAATGATTATGGTGTTAATGAAGTCTAATATTGCACTTAGAAATAGATATAGGTTATATTGTTTGATAGGGATATGTGATTTAACTTTTTTAAAGTCTAACTTGAACAAAACTATTTAATTAATAGGTTTAATTTAGACTTTTTAAAAAGTTTAGTTATTTAAATAGGTCAAGTTTGAGCTTTAAAAAAAGTCTATTAAGCCTATTAGAATTGCCTATTTAAAACTCATACAATTTATAATAATATATTAAATAATTTTATATGAAAATTGTAATATAATAATATGTTAAATAAATTAAATTTTAAAATAAATAAAATTTTAAATTAAAAATCATAATACTTTTTGTTAGAGTTGAAGTGTCTCTATTATATACTCTCTAAGAGAGAGAGCCTTATTTCTTAAAAGTCTTTTGTGTATATCATAACGATAATGCTAATTTATATTTGCACTATCTCAATTAGGTTCATTGCGAGTTAATCTCATCTCATCCATCATCTTCTTGTGTATTTTTTTTATATTATATCATATGTAACTCTTTTCTATTACAAAGTAGGTTATTAAAAAGGTTAATATGTTAGACTAGGCTTAATAAAAAATTTATAAGAGATAATAGGTCAAACTTAAACTTTAAATTTATTAGATAGGATAAGCCTATTTATGCAAAGTCTATCTATTTTTATCCCTAAATTACACTTGTGAGTGAAAAGTATAATGAGATATATTCTAAGCCGCAATTTATTTTTGAATATAGGTCATTTCAATTACTCAAGTGAAAGATAATAATTGGTAACAAAGCTTTGAAAACAAATAAAAAGGAACATAGAAAATACAAAGACAAGAGGAAGGGAGAAGGAAGTTGCAAAAAAGGTAGAAGTCATAGAGAAGGAAATAGTTACAGATATGGATAGGAGATAGTTAATTGATTTTATATTTTTACTTAAATGAAAAATCATCTACTTAAGAGAACATGCCTAAAAAATTTTACTGGAGCCCACAGTTAATGCAGGGAATCATTTTCCAAAAGTTACAAAAAAAAAAAATGAACATTAATTTTTAAACTTGAGTGACCACTAATTTGAAATATCGACAAACAAATATTATTTCATAAGAATATAAGCTTTTGATCTATTAGGTATACATAAATATGGTAAATAAAAAAAACTAATTTTTCAATATATTACTTTTACAAAATGAAAAATTTTTGCAAAAGAAAAAAGAGAAAAAATAATTAATAAAATTGTTTTTATCAAAACAATAAGTTTTACAGCGGATAATTTATTATCTATGAGATTTTAAATTTACCATTATCAATATTGAGTATACGAAAAATTGTTCACGTCCATCTTTATATTTTATATAATATCTGCTATGTTGTGTTGTTGTGAATTAGAACAAATAAAATCTAATGTTAATTAACAGCTTAAAAGCATGGAAAAATAATTTTATCGATTAACTTATTTTATTAACAAATTTTTAAAGAAATTTGTATAATAAAAAATTTAGTATAAAAACTAATAATTTTGTCATTTAAAAGTTAAATATAACTTTTTTTTAGAGAACTCTCATGAGTTAGTTCATATACATCGGAGCCTGTATATCGGTATATTTTAATGGTATAAAAATATTATTTATGAATTATTTAATGTTGAACTAATTTTATTAATAATTCTGTTACAAACATTAAATTATTAGTATAAAGATTTTATATTTCTATTAAAAAAATATTATACCAGAAATATTATTAATAAAAATGTTTATAAATTATTAATATATTAATATTAGTATAATACATTATTTGTTATTATAAGTCTTAAAAATATATTAAAAAATTAACCTTTTATGGCCAAAGACTGTAATGATAAAAACTATATTATAACTTGGCAATTTTTATTTGTTAATAGATGATAATTTTTTTAGCGTTAATTAACACAATTTACGAGAATTTTTTCTCTCAATATTTTGTTGTCATCCACCATATATATTATGATTTTATTTTTATTTTTATTTTTTTTTGCGTTGACCCGATGCTTAAGTTTTCAATGTGTTAAATTATTTTGAAACATCGATAAAAGTTTTATTTGGTACAGTCTAAAATGTCACTATCACAATGAATATTGTCAAGGTCTTAATCATATTAAACAACAACTGAAATAGAAAATAATAATAATAATAATAACACAAGACACAACACATATCAAAGAAATAAAGATATAAGAAAAAGTTCAAGACTAAAACAAGGTAAACAAA